GGAGGCTGAGGCAGGAGAACCCAGGAGACAGAGATTGCAGCGAGCCAAGATCGCGCTACTGCACTCCAGTCTGGGTGACAAAGTGAGAGTCCGTCTCAAAAAAAAAAAAAGTTATTTAGTTCTGATGCAATTCAATTGATGTAATTTTTTCCTTTTGTTACTTTGCGAGCCTGTTTTTCAACCACAGTCAACCTCAGAGCCCTGAGGCATCTCTCCATGCTGAGAACCAGTTACACCTTACAGTTAGGAGCATGGACTCTGGAGCTGGATGGCTAGCGTTTAAATCCCAGTTTACTTAGCTGTGGTCTTGGGGAAGTTACTTAAACTTTCTGTGCTTCAGTTTCCTCATCTAGAAAATGGGGATAATGATGTCTGCCTCATAGGCTTGCTCTGAGGCTCAAATATGTAAATTCATGTAAAGTGCTTACAACAACCTCCAAACTGTATAAACAGTATAATTGATAGAACACAAATTATGAACAGTACATAGATTTAGCACTGTATAAATGCATGCTGTAATTATTGTGGCACTTGTTAAAAAATCGTTATTGTTACAGTATTTTCTGTTGTTGTTATACAAGTATCTTCTATAGTATCATTGCTGTTTATGCTGCATCTTCCAACTTGGAAGGGGAGTATGGGCCAGGTGGGGTGGCTCAGGCCTGTAATCCCAGCACTTTGGGAGGTTGAAGAGGGAAGATCGCTTGAGGCCAGGAGGTCGAAACCAGCCTGAGCAACATAGTGAGGCCCCTGTCTCTATAAAACAAAAATTAAATTAATAAAACATTTTTAAAAAGAGGTGGCTGGCCGGGCGCAGTGGCTCACGCTTGTAATCCCAGCACTTTGGGAGTCCGAAGCGGACGAATGACGAGGTCAGGAGATCAAGACCATCTTAGCCAACATGGTGAAACCCCTTCTCTACTAAATTACAAAAACTGGCCGGGCACAGTGGCTCAAGCCTGTAATCCCAGCACTTTGGGAGGCCGAGACGGGCGGATCACGAGGTCAGGAGATCGAGACCATCTTG